CCCCCCCCCCCCCCCCCCCCCCCCCCCCCCCCCCACCCCCCCCCCCCCCTCCCCTTCCTTCCTTCCCCCCCCCCCCCCCCCCTCCCCCCCCCCCCCTCCTTCCTCCCCCCCCCCCACCTTCCTTCCTTCCCCCACCCCCCCTCCCTTCCTTCCTTCCACCCCCCTTCCTCCCCCCCCCCCCCCCCTTCCCCCCCCCCCCCCCCCCCCCCCCCCCTTCCACCCCCCTTTCTCTCCCCCCCCCCCCCCCCCCCCCCCCCCCCCCCCCCCCCCCCCCCCCCCCCTTCCTTCCCCCCACCCCCCCCCCTCCCTTCCCCTTCCCCCCCCCCCTTCCCCCCCCCCCCCCCCCCCCCCCCCCCCTTCCTCCCTTCCCCACCCACCTACCCCTCCCTTCCCCCTTCCTCAACCCCTCCCTTCCTTCCCCCCCCCCCCTCCTTCCCCCCCCCACCCCCCCCTACCCCTACCCTCCCCCCCCCCCCCTCTCCCCCCTTCCTTCCTTCCTTTCACCCCCCCCCCTCCCTGCCAACCACCCCTTCCTCCCCCCTTCCACCTACCCCTTCCCCCCACCGAAGGAAGGGAGGGGTGAAGGAAGGGAGGGAGTACCTTTTCCTTCATTCCACCCCCCCCTCTCTTCTTCCTTTCCCCCCCCCCTTCTTTCCTTCCTTCCACCCCCCCCCCTCCCTTCCCCATCTGGTCCTTTCTTCCACCCCCCCCCCCCCCTCCCCCCCTCCCATCCACCCCCCCCCCCCCACTCACCCCTTCATTCCACCTACCCCTTCCTTCCACCTCACCCCCTTCCTTCCCCTCCCCCCCCCCCCCCTCCTTCCTTCCCCCCCCCTTTGTGGTAAACAGTGTAGTTAACTGAAAATTGAGTGACAGATACTTACCATGATTTTCCTTTCCTGATGTGCTCCATGGCAGCACAGCTGGGTGAGGCCCCCCGTCCACCTCTTGCATAATCAAGACCTAACTAATAAATTAGTGCCCGCCTGTAGCCTCAACATTTCATAACTCATCCTACCAAGATGGGTGGCAATTGTGCTGCCATGTTGCCCGTTCAAGGAAAATTAAGGTAAGTATCTGCCATTCAATTGTCCATTTTCCCTGTAGGCTCCATGTCAGAATATCTGGGAATTAACTAGCCACACACAGGATGGTAATGCTTGATCAATTTAATTTTGACTGGCAGCAGAAGCCAATACGTCCCTGCCAAAATCACCAGTAGTCAAAGCCGCAGGCTCTGTGCAATTATGTGTCATGAAGGTTTGCATAGAAGTCCATGTAGCCGCTCTGCAGATTGTGTCTATAGAAACCCATCCTGCTGCTGCTCATGATGTCGAGACACCTCTAGTGGAAAGTGCCGTGAACTCCTCAGGCACAGGCAAATCTTTCGCTCTGTAAGCCAAGGAGATAATATTCACCAGCCTTAAGGCGAGCACTCTATTAGAAGCCCTCAGGCCTTTCCATGATCTATTTGAAATTATGAAAACATGATCCGATTTCCTGAGCTCAGCAGTAGCATCCACATAGGCCTTCAACTTAAACCCAACATCAAACAGACTTACGTCCTGAAAATTTTCTGAGAGGAACATAGGAAGTGTAATCTCTTGCATCATGTGGAATCTGGAAGCCACCTTGGGTAAGAATCCAAGCATTGGTCTAAGCACCACCCTATCTGGAAAGAAAGAGAGGAACGCTTCCTTAAGCCCTCAGGCTGCAATCTCTTCTGGCTGATGCTATTGCCACCAGAAATGTTACCTTAAAGTGTTACTAAACCCACAACAGTAAAATCAGTCTGTATATGCCGTAAAGCATGCTAGCTATACTCACTGTGGAACCTAAGGGTCTAATCCTCCACATTGTGTAAAAAGGCTGTTTGATCCTGTCTTTTCTGATCCTCCCCTTATTCTTTTGTCCCCAATCCATCTGCTGATAGTATAGAGATGTAGGAGTCACAGTGCACATGCTCATTTTAGTGTGTATTGTTAGAGAGGTTTTTTTTGGGGGAGGATGCATGTGATCAGCACAGGGCCAATCAGCACTGTCCAGACAGAGGGTCAGGGGTTATGCAGCCTCATAGGACAGTCAGAGCAGAATAAAAACTCCTTTAACCAGCTTTAACCAGTGCTCAGTTGGCCACTGATAGAAGTCACAAGACTGCTATATACTGCTGATAAGAAAAGGTATTTAGCAGTTTACACTCACTTTACACTTTATTAGATACACCTTGCTAGTGCTAAGAAAATATCCCCAACACGATTACACCACCAGCCTGAACCCTTGATACAAGACAGGATAGATCCATGCTTTAATGTGTTTACGCCAGATTCTGACCCTACCATCTCAATGTCATTGCAGAACCAGTCTGCCCATTCTCCTCTGACATCAATAAGGCATTTTTGTCCACACAACTGCCACTCACTGGATGTTTTATCTTTTTTGGACCATTCTCTGTAAACCCTAGAGATGAAAATCCCAGTAGATGAGCAGTTTTTTTAAATACTCAGACCAGCCTGTCTGTTACCAACAACCATGCCACATTCAAAGTCACTTAAATTCCCTTTCTTCCCAGTTCTGATGCTCCGTTTGAACTTCAGCAAGTCGTCTTCACCACATCTAGATGCCTAAATGCATTGAGTTGCTGCCATGTGTTTGGCTGATTAGCAATTTGTGTTGCTAACCAAATTGAACAGGTGTACCTAATAAAGTGGCAGGTGAGTGTATATTTACTAAAATAATTGCACTTCCATGTTGTGTGTACTGTGGGAGACCAGATATATGGTCATGGGTTTAGTAGCACTTTAAGAGAGAGATGCCACAGTGAGACCAGATGACTGAAGTTGTCTGACGACAGGAAGTCCAAAACTAGGGGAATGTCCCATTTTGGCAATAGCAGTGATCTGGGTGGTTTTAAGCATATTGCTGCTTTGATGAAGTGAACCACCAGAGCATCAAAAGCCCAGTGAGTACCTGTGAATGCACAGATGGCAGAAGCATGGGCCTCAACATACTCACACAAAGGCCCATATCCAGTCCAGCTTGAAGAAACTTCAGTATGTGGCATGCGCTTGGAGAATCTGGTGAAAAATTGTGCCTCACTTCAAACCCTGTGAACTTGTTCCAAATTCTGGCATATTAGGGCTTGTTCACATGACTACATTTCTAGCTCTTAACAAACTCTCCTATAGTGCTAATGCACTTTAGTATGGGCATTAGACTGACTCTAAAGCGTGTTAGTATAGGCATTAGACTGGCGTTAATGTGTTTTAGTACGGGCGTTAGACTGGCATTTTACAAGAGTTACAAATTATCTCCGAATGCCTTATGCGCTGTTTTGATGTGCTTGCTGCATGTTAAGACATGTGAAAACTACTCCACAAATGCCTATTTTTTTTTTTAAAGGGACGTGACATTACAGGAAATAAAACATTTGAGGTGTGGCTAGTAATTGTGAATATTTCCTGTGCATACTCTATTAGCAGGACAGGCAACATCATGGATTCCTTTACTATGCTTTATCTCCTGTTTGGCCTCCTGTAGGTAATGCTGATGTATGAGCAATTGGCTGAGCAGAGAAAGAGGAGAAAGGCATCCCGATGCTATTGGGTACATCTCTCAGAATATCCTAAAGGGCACTTTCATGCCTGTATCTTAATTTACGCACCTACCCTCAGAAGTTTTTTGACTATGCCCACATGAAAATACCATCCTTTGATGCACTGTTGGAGATTGTTAGACCCTGGTTGATATGCAGCAGAACCAAATTTAGGCTTCTAGTGTCTCCAGAAGAATGTCTATTATTCAAGCTGTGGTAAGTAATCCAAGGTGTCAAAAGTATGCCACAGTTCTGTACACATTCCTGTATTTTCTATTAAGTAAAAGAATAATGCGTAATGTTTCAAAAGTGGACAAGCCAGAATTCCTAGCAGTTGTGCTTGACAAAAAATTAGCAGTACTGAACAATCTAGATTTTTACATATACAGCTGCTACAGCTTTGATTGCCCCTCCCCCCCCAATAAACACACACACACACACTCAGTGGCGGACTGACAACTCATGGGGCCCCCGGGCAATAGGGGATCATGGGGCCCCTGTGTCCTTACCCAAACTCAAAAAAGCCTATGAAAAAGGTACCAGGGGCATCTCATGGGGCCCCCTACTGACCCCGGGCCCTCGGGCAGTGCCCAAGTTTCTGAATGGTCAGTCCGCCCCTGCACACACTGAATTTCCTATATATGCTAAAAAGCATAGGAATTTAATTACTAATATGTATTTTTCACAGATTTTTGGCAACTGATGATAGCTCATTACCTTCTGGGCAAAGCCACAATCCACAACATAGTTCATGAGACATGTAATGCAATGTGGAACATACTTGTATCTACTTAGCAACTGAAATAGTTGTCATATATGTTTAAGCATAAAGTGGTTGTAAACCTCATAGATGATTTATAAATAAAGCATAGTGTGTATTTGTTTCAATTAAGAGCATAAAGGGGGTAATTCACTAAAACTGGAGAGTGAAAAATCTGGTGCAACTCTGACTAGAAACCAATTAGCTTCCAGGTTTTCTTGACAAAGCTTAATTGAACAAGCTGAAGTTAGAAACTGATTGGCTACCAAGCAAAGGTGAACTAGATGCTGAATGCACCTGTTTTAGGAAATCTCTCCCAAAGTGTGTTTTTCTGCCTGCTGCTTAGTTCTTCTGCTATCTGCATAAGCCACTTCTGACAGGTTTTCCTGAGAAAAAAGGTGACAGTGGGGGAAACTAAAGCACACAGCTTGTGATTGATAGTCTCAGGTCTCTTACTGTGTGCTGTGTAAAGTGGGGTTTTGCTCTTAGGGCTCATGTACACTGCAGCTGATAAACTCAAGTTTAGGAGCTGTTCAGCGTTTTTTTTCAGCAGCCCCTGAACTCACTCTAATGTTTTCCTATGTGTCCATGTACACATCCTTGTTTAAAGTCGTTTATAGGCATTTGAGTTTACAGTCATTTATTTGAACGCACCAAACTTGCATTCTGCAGTCGATTTTATTAGTGTTTCAAATGCAAAACATGTGAAAATGGGGCTAAACGCAGCTAACCGCAGAAAATCATGTTTATAAGCGTTTGCATTTTTTTTTAACTCTTCCAGTTCCCAATGCTGTACAGAGCCTTTTTTCATCATGAAAAATGCATGCAAAGCCTTTTCAAGGTGCTCAGATTGACAAAACACAGGATGTTCCTATCAAGCTTGTCACACATTGTAATGACCTATTCATACCTCAGACCTCTCCCACCCTTGGAAACAAAAGATATGTTAATGACCATTCACACACCTCAAATTCCTCCTGAAGACCCCCCTGCCAGGTGGCCTTAATGACTCACTCCACCAGACACCTTTCCCACCCTTGGAAACAAAAGAAATGTTAATGAGCAACTCACACCCTAGTTAATGTCAACACATACTGCTGTCTCTGCTTCTACTCTCTGTATTTCTCTGAAACAGTCTGAAATAGTTAATAATTTACCACTTTTCAGTGCATTCTGGGCATTTGGAAAGTTCTCCTGTGCTTATCTTTAAAAAACACTTCTAAACGCAAATGCTTCTAAACGCACATAAACGTGTTATCCAAACGCGGCTAAACAGACATTTTTTAACCTACTGTCACGTACCTTATAGAAGTCTGAATTGATGAGGTCAGCCTCTCTTGTATCTCCAACCTAGGCCCCACTGAAGATGAAACAGATGGTGCACAGGGACAGGAGGAACACGAGTGCCTGTGGATATTGATTGTAGAACATGCAGCTGGTGATGTATCCTCAGTAAATCAGACAGGGCATCCAGTCAGGAAGAGAGGAGATGTCTGTCTGGCACCAGAAACAGTGGGCACGCTCCCACATGTGTGCACCCGTGTGCGCGCATTTTTGCCCGCATGCGCAAGCCTATGCTCATTTCTATTAGCCAGTTACCATACAAGAATTCCCTTACACCTACGTTTTCCAGCAGTCAGTTTCCATCGTTCAGAAGTGTTGTTCCTGGTTAAACCTTTTTGTTCTGTTGTTCAAAGTTCTGAACCGTATATTGCATTTATTCGTGTACAAGTAAATACTTGCTTTTGGATATGTGCTCTCCATAATGGTTATAACTCCATAATGTAAACCAGAACTGCACTGTATCTGTGCGCCAAAACTCAAAACTGCTATTTAAATAATTGTTAATATTTAAAGCAGACTCCCCTATCCATGTCTTCATGTTTTTTTTTACTGAGAAATCGCTTTGAAAACACACCATCTAGCACTTCCGGCTGAGACCATCAGGCCACATGAATCTTGTAGCATTTACACTCTGGAATCCATACAGTCATGGCCAAAAATATTAAATAATGCACCACTTTGCTTAGAATATTACAAATGTTTAGGCATTCTCATGTTTATTTATTTTGTTTGTATTGGTATGGCACACAAAAGTGGAGAAACACACAATGCCAAATCTGATACATTCCACACAAAACCCCAAAATGGACTGGACAAAATTATTGGCACCTTCTCAAAATTCTAAGAAATAATTTCATTCCAGGTTTGTGATGCTCCGGTAATTTGCAATTAAACTCACCTGTATCAATTATCAGGTGCTGACAATATAGAAATCACACTGGCAACCAGTTAAAATAGTGAAAAATTGACAACCTTCCTGTTGTGTGCAGTGGTGTATTTAGGTTTCGTGCTGCCCTAGGCAACACAAAAATTGGCTCTTAACCCCCCACCACCACCACCACAGAGAGACTCTGACACCGACCAACACCCCCCTCCCCCATGAAGATGAAGAGAGCCTAACATTGACCAACAACACCCCAGACCCCCCCCCACCCGAGTGAGCCTTCCACTGCCCCCCATACAATGGCAACCCCCCCACCCCGGCGAGAGATAGATACTCACCTTCACATCCCCGGGGACAAGAGTCAGGCTCTGCATACACCATAAGGAAGCCTACAGCCTCTCTCAGATCCCACTTAGTCCCCATGCTGCATGTGTCTCTTCTTCCATCCCTTCTTTTGGGGGGCGGCGCTGCCACCTGAAAAATTCTGCTGCCCCCCTGAAAAATGCCGTCCTAGGCAAATGCCTTGTTTGCCTTGTGATAAATACTCCCCTGGTTGTGTATCCCTGTGTGCCACATGGAAAAGAGAAAGAGCAGCAATAAATTGTCTTAGGATTTGAGAACAATCCAACAAAGATGTTAGTAATAGTTTGTACTTTTTGAACATGTGTAGTTTTGAAAATATGCTACTATGTCTAAAACATATTATTATTATTATTATTAGTATTATTATTATACAGTATTTATAAAGCGCCAATAGTTCGCTCAGCGCTGTACATTACAAAGGGGGACAGAACATGTGACAGAACAACAACAATGCAATGCAAAACATGAGGGGATCGAGGTCCCTGCTCTTTCGAGCTTACAATCTAGGAGGGAGGGGATGGTGGCACAGGAGGAGATAGCTGTGGGGGATGGGGTGGTAGGAAGAGTGGAGGAGGTTGGCAAGTTAGCAGGGGGTGGGGTAGGCTTCCCTGAAGAGGTGGGTTTTCAGGGTGCGCCTAAAGGAGAGGAGAGTAGGTGATAATCTGATGGGTTGGGGCAGGGAGTTCCAGAGGATGGGTGACACCCTGGAGAAGTCCTGGAGGCGGGCATGGGAGGAGGAGACCAGGGAACTAGAGAGAAGGAGGTCTTGTGAGGAGCGGAGTGTGCGTGCTGGGCGGTACTTGTATATTAGGTCAGTGATGTAGTTCGGGGCAGTATGGTGGACAGCTTTGTACGTCAGCGTTAGGATTTTTAATTTGATCCGTTGCGCAATCGGAAGCCAGTGGAGGGATTGGCAAAGGGGGGTGGCAGAAACGGAGCGGTTGGAAAGGTGAATGAGTCTGGCAGCCATATTCAGGATCGACTGAAGCAGGGATAGCCAGCGGCGAGGCAGGCCAGTATGAAAGATTGTTCCTGCAAAGTTTTTTTGCTTTTGCTGTGACTAAAATAAATGTGAAAATTGTTGCAGTAGCAATATCTTTATGGTTGTCGGTTGTCTGTTTTGTAATAATTATTTCCCTATGAAAAGACGTGTAAAGCAAAACTTCACACTGTCAATCAACATTGACTGTACTGCTAACATTACCAAATTGTGAAATATATGAAATGTTCTTGACAATTTTTAAAACATTTCTTAATTTAGTAACTGTTTTCTAAGCAAAGACAGATGAGGTCATTCAACTCAGGAATCTTCAAGAGGAAAGGATGGGATTTCTCTGTTGACCACCCCCTCGTGTCGGTATGGCAACATACAGTCATGGCCAAAAATATTTGCACCCCTTCATTTCTGTCAGATAATGCATCACTTTGCCCAGAAAATTGTTGCAATTACAAATGTTTAGGCATTCTTGGGTTTATTTCTTTTGTTTGTATTGCTGTGACACAAAGTGGAGAAACAAATGGCCAAATCTGACACATTCCACACAAAACTACAAAAATGGACTGGACATGATGACCTTTGACAGAGACCCAACTTTCTGGCCTTACATTGCACCCCAGGATTCTTTGGTAGTCTTCATCCGGAGCCTGAAGCAGCAAAGCAACCCTCAAACATCAGTCCCTTGTTTGACTGTAGGGATTGTATTCTTTTCTTTAAATATCTAATTTCTTTTTCTGAAAACAGTAGAATGATAGGCTTTACCAAAAAGCTGTATTTGTATTTTGTCTGTCCACAGCACATTCTCCCAAAAAATTTTTGGCTTCCTTAGGTAAGTTTTGGCAAACTCCAATCTGGCTTTTTTATGTTTCTGTGTCAGCAGTGGGGTCCTCCTGGATCTCCTACCATAGCGTCCCTTTTCATACAGATTGCAATGTATAGTACAAGCTGATACAGTTGTTCTCTGTGCCTGAAGGTTAGCTTGAATCTGTCTGGAAGTTGATCGAGGTGCTTTATCTACCATTCAAACAATCCTTTGTTGCAAGTGTAACACCCTGCTACAAGTGTTGAGGCTGGATGATAAAAACGAACACAAGATGGGAATGTCCTGCTGAACAGTGGTATTCACACTCTGTAGAGCAGCCCCATGGAACTTGTATGCTGAACCACAGAACTTTACTAAGGAACAGTGTAGTAAATAACTACATTTTCCAGAGGAGCTGGCATGTGGGGGGAGACATATATGAAAGCCGAGGAGATGAGACATGCAGTGAGAGGGGAGAGATCTGGAGTGTGCTAACTGCGGGAGGGCCGGACTAGGCTGTGGAGAGAGAGAGGAGGCAAGGAGAGTCTGCTGGTCACTGACCTCACCACATCATGGAAAGAGCTGATCAGCTAGCAGGTGACCAGATGGAATGCTTCCAGTGGAACCAGAAAGAGTGTGCGGAGGCCTTATCAAAGGAGAGAGAGAGAGACTGCCAGTGCTCACCAGACACCATCCCTCTGGTGAGAGAGTCCAAAGCATTATCAGGGACAGAGGATACTGACACCTGCTCCACCTTTGCTATCTTCCTGCACACAGTCGTGGACATTGCACATAATTATTAGAAGTTGCGGCCTAGTTCCTTCAGCTGCTATTGTCTGACCGCACTTAGCAGAGCCTTATTGTCAGAGCTGATAGCAGGACAGGCAGTCCACAGGCTGAACCACAGTAGTGTTGCCATCATCAACTCACTCTACTAAGCAGGGCTTTTCCTATTGTGTCAATAGTCTTGCAGTCCAGAGGAAAGTTGCCCTGTGCCAAACAATCACTTTTACCAGCTTGTTGCTTTAGATTAACTAGTGACGGGTGTCTAAAAGGAACATTACAATGGTAAATTGCTGTTTCCAGGGGGAGTGTTGTCCTTCCTTCTCTCTTTATTACATCATTCCTCAGAGAATCATATTCCACACTTCCTTATTTCAGGCTATCTCCTTGCCATCAGGCCCTGAGGACCCAAAGTGAGCTAATATACCTGTTTAATAGTTCTCACTGCTCACTGGGCACTGTAAGACCACCTCAGGTTGAAGGCATTGGGTTAGTTTCTGAAAGCAGGTCCGCTGACACTAACTGAGATTCTGCGATAGGTACTGTCTTTTCTCAGTTCAAACGTACACAAATAGCAACTGATTTTACACATGCCAATTCTGTTTATGCTGTGTAACCAAGCTATATTGAAGTTGTCTATAAACCTCCTATTAGTTTGCGTCAATCGGTGTGTGGTTTTACTTTCTGGTGGTGATTTATTTCAGCTAAGAGAGTACTGTGGTGTCAGCAGAGGTTGGACTTTCAGAGAGGGTTCCAGAGCCACAGGGTGCCCTAAAAAAGTTTAGCAACTCCCAAGGGGGTACTGGT